CCCCACCTGTGCTCCCAAACCCATCCCACCTGTGCCCCAAACCCATCTCACCTGTGCCCCTAAATCCGTCCCACCTGTGCCCCAAACCCATCCCACCTGTGCCCCAAACCCATCTCACCTGTGCCCCCAAATCTCTCCCAGTTCCATCCCCGATCCCATCCCAGTTCCTGCCCCATTTCCCGTCCCAGCCCCATTCCCGATCCAATCCTGTGCCACCCCCCTGTGTCTCCCGTGCCACCTGCGCTCCGTGTCCCCTCTGTCCCCGTCCCCTCCCGCCCCCTTCCCGGTGCTGTCCCGCACATCCCGGGATCCCAGATCCCATCCCAGCCCCTCTGCATCCCGGCCGGAATGTCGCACGCGGGAATGTCGCATGGCGGGAATGTCGCACGGCGGGAATGTCGCATGGCGGGAATGTCGCACTCGGGAATGTCGCACGGCGGGAATGTCGCATGGCGGGAATGTCGCATGGCGGGCTGAGCACGGGCTCCTTCCCAAGCTGTGGAATTGAGAATTCCCTGGAATTCCTTTGGCTGTCGCTTCCCGAGGCTGTTGTGGCCGCGCCACCCCACACCTGGCACCTGTGTGCCAGGCTGTCCCCGCCTTGGGGACACGGGGGTCCCCTCAGAGCCCCTGCACGGCCACCGCTGGTCCCGGCTGTGCCACCCTCGTCCCCTCGGTGCTGCCCCTCGGCACGGCCTGGCACTGCCCAGCCTGGCTGACCACCCTGACCACCCTGCACGGCACTGACCACCCTGACCATCCCTCACTGACCATCCCTGCCTGGCACTGCCCAGCCTGGCTGACCACCCTGACCACCCTGCCTGACTACCCTGACCACCCTGACCACCCTGCATGGCACTGCCCAGCCTGGCTGACCACCCTGACCACCCTGCATGGCACTGAACACCCTGACCATCCCTCACTGACCACCCTGACCATCCCTGCCTGGCACTGACCACCCTGACCATCCCTCACTGACCACTCTGCCTGGCACTGACCACTCTGGCTGACCATCCCTGCCTGGCACTGACCACTCTGGCTGACCATCTCTGCCTGGCACTGCCCAGCCTGCCTGGCACTGACCACCCTGCATGGCACTGCTCAGCCTGGCTGACCGCAGTGACCATCCCTGCCTGACCACTCTGGCTGACCATCCTTGCATGGCACTGCCCAGCCTGCCTGACCACCCTGCCCATCCCTCACTGACCATCCTGCCTGGCACTGACCATCCTGCCTGGCACTGACCACCCTGCATGGCGCTGACCACTCTGGCTGACCATCCCTGCCTGGCACTGACCTCCCTGCCCTGTCCCTGCCCTGTCCCTCCCCTGTCCCTGCCCCTCCCTACCCCGCTTCCCTCCCTCTCCACCTCCCTCCCTCCCCCCGGCAGCCCCCGGCGCCCTCGGTGTCCCCTCGGTGGCACCTCTGCCCCGGTGCCCCCCTCGCGGAGCCACCCCCGCGTCCCCTCAGGGCGCGGCCGCTCCGCCAAGGCCACCCGGGCGCGCGGTGGAAGGTGACAGTGGTGGCCTGAGCGCGGGCAGCCCGGCGCCATCCCCGCCGGGTGTCCCCGGGTCTCCTGCCCCTTCCGCAGCTGTTTTTTGGGGCACCCCCCGAGTGAGGGAGACCCGCCCGCGGCCGCCTCTCGCCGCGAGAGGCCAAAAACCCCGCGGAGCGCAACCGCTCCGCGCTAAGCTCGCTCTGGGACCGGGAGAGCTGGACGCCTTCTCGCCATTTCGGAGGAGCCTCCCTCTGCCCCCTTCCTCCTCCTGCTCACCCTCCTCCTCCTCGGAAGGAAGGAGGAAATGGCCGTGCCCGCCCGGGCACCCCCAGCTCCCGCTGAAGCAGCTGCAGCCGTACCTGTGTTGGCGAACACTGAGTGTCACCCGCCCCGCGGGGACACCACGGCTCGTCCCAGTCAGGCCCCACGCCAGAGAAGG